AAGCTTGGCAGGGGTTTGTACCTTTCTGGGTTTGACGGGGTCCTTTGACAGTCCCTGGAGCTTTCTGGAAATGAGGGTGCAGCCGCCTCACTGGGCAGGGAATGGCACTGCTACCCCAGGCCTGCAGACCCTGGGATGTCCCCTGAGCAGCTCCTCCTCCTCTTCCTCCTCCCTCCACCTTGGCAGCCAGCTCAGGGAGGGCAGCGTGGCTCAGGCAGCAGAACAAGGGCCAGGACAGTCTGACCACAGCGTGGCTGTCGGGAATATCAGCAGCAAGCCCTGTTTCCTGCGAGGTTTCATTTCCAGTGTCTCCTGGAACACCCTCCACCCCGCGGGAGGGCTGTGTCGGTGCCGGGCTGCGGGCAGGCCTGCAGGAAGCGATGCCAGGCAGGCAGCACCAGCATCTGCTTGCGGCTCCTTCCATGCCCCGTTGCTCTCCAGGTGTTCCCACAGCCCTGGAGTGTGATGTGGGGCCATGGGGTGGGATGGCTCCCCTGGGATGGGGTGGGGATCCTGGCTGGCCACTCACTGTGCCACCTTCCCTCCCCACACCGGCAACCACAAGGATTTTGCTGCCACCGCCTCCACCACAGTGGAAAGCACCTGTGCCCTGAAAATCCCTGCTACTCTGGGACCCTGGGTGATGCCAGCGGTGCCCATTACTGTTACTGTCAAAAGCACAGGCAGGGCTGTTCCCAGCTCCCCTGCAGTGACTTTCTCCTCATGGCTTCAGCAGATGTTCCAGTTCCTTCGTCTTTTTTCCCTTTTTTTTTTTTTTTTTTTAGGGCAGTCAGGACTTTGTGAGTCGTTTCCTCCGGGGACGTGGGCAGGTTTTAGTATTTACGTTTCCAGTATTAGCATTTATTTGTATTTGTGTTTGTTTTTCACGGGCTTCTGAAGGCCTCAGGGAGCCATTTATGGGGCCAAAATAATGCAAGTGCTGGTCTTCTCACAGTATTTCATTTCCTTGATGGTGGAAATGCTACGAGAAGAGCAGGTCTCATGTTATTTTGACCCCATAAATAGCTCCCAGAGGCCCCTTTCTTCCTTCTCCCACCCACTCCCCCCCCCCCAGATCAAATATTTAGGTTTCTGCAAAGCCTGACTTCTCAACCCTGGTTATCTTGCTTCAGCAGAAGCAAATTGCAGTTATTACAAAATAGCCAGAGAGTCTATAAGGCCGAATGGGTTTTATATGATGCACAATTTGTTGGCTACTGTACAAGTTCATTAAAGTGTATCATAAGAGGTTGTTTTACTGGTACATTTAAGGAAGTTAATACATCTCGACAGTATATGCATGGGGGAATGCAGATACAATAACCCTCAGACATGCTGGGGCCAAGTCCATTCCTGGCGTAACTCCACCGGAGTAAACGAAATCACTTGCTGGGCAGCCGTGTCCTGCTCTGCTGGCGCGGTGCTGAGCCCTCATCCTGCTGCTCTGGGCTCTGCTGCCACTCAGTCCCATCATTCCGTGAGGGGATCCTTGGGTTTGCTTCTGTTTTGTGGTTTTCAGCAGCGTGTTCCCAGCGTGGAGGGCATCAGTGGTCTGGCTGGTTATGTGGTGGGTCTTCCATAGGTCTGGGAGGTATTTCAGTCCTTTTCAGCTGGGCCACAAGGCCTGGCTGTTCCATCCCACCCTGGAGTGGTGGGAAGGCAGTGCTGCTTTTTGTTTTGAGGACTGACTTCTCCTGGTACCCACAGCCCCACTACACTGCAGTGGCTCTTCTGCACTTGCTGGGTCTGTGCAGGCATCAGGTCTATCAGAAATCATCCTCCAGTTTTACTCTGTAACAGGAAGGTTGTCCCCATGTCATGGAGCTATTCCCAGCCTTGTCTGAGCTTCCCATGGGAATGGCATCCATGTTCCTCTGCTGTGGCCTGGTCTGCTGGAAGCGCTGGGGGAAAGAATAATACTGTGTATTGGGATTTTTTAACTAATATTCTTCATTAATGAACCAGACTAATTTAGGGGAGTGCAGGCAGACGTGCTGGCGGTGCTGCAGGGGGTCAGCCATGCAGGCAGGTATTCCCTGGTGACCATGTAAAGGCTAATTGCCCCCCTGGCGTGACCCAGCCGCGCTGGAGCTCCGGCCGAGGGTGAGGGCAAGAGCCCAATTTCCTGAGCACGGCGGTGTCTCCGCGGCAGCGCTCGGCGCTTTTACGGGGCTGCCTTGGGTATCAAAATACACGGCTCGTCTGCCTCGCCCGCTAATTAGTTCCAGAGTTTGCAGTGCTGGGCTGTTTGAGAGCGTCCGGACTCGTATTCCATGGGGAATGCGTGCCTGTCCCATCCACAGTGCCTGGGGTGGCAGCTCGGATGTGGGAGCTGCCCGGGTTTTAGCCTGGCACCCTCTGATCCCAGAGGGGGCTGGAGGGCTGGACATCATCCCCTCCAGTTCCTCCTGAGTCCCTGCAGCTTCCATACTCTCTGTTTTGTCCATCCCTGTCATGAATTGTCAGGTTTTCCTGCCTGGCAGCAGCAAGGGGAGCTCAGGGCGGTTGCACTCGGAGCTGTGGGACACAGCCAGGATGGGACCCCATCCAGGCCCTGCTCCCACCCACTCTGTCTCCCCCTGATTTTTGATCCAGGCTTTTTCCCTGACTGGCATCAGTCTCTGCAGTGCCACCCCCTGGCAGGCCCCCGCAGAGGTGACAAGCGCTGCCGGCTGCAGAAATCCCGCAGACCCCAGAAAAGCCCCAAATTCCCCCAAATCCCATCCCGGCAGGGCGTGCGGTCCCGCACAAGGCACCGACCGACAGGCAGGACACAGCCCTGAGGGGCAGGAACAGCCACGCAGGAGCCCCAGGGAAACAAATGCTCCTCACTCTGTCCCTCTCCCTCCCTTCTTCAGCCACGGTTACTGGAAACACATTTGCCTGTAAATCAATTATAGCTGGAAGAGAGAGCGGAGTCCCCCCGTGAGGAGCCGTGCCGGGGTTCGGGGGAGCCCAGCGCCCTGAGCTCTGACGTGGGACCTTTAACCGAAACCAGCTGTGTGCTGAGGGAGATAAAAGCCCCAAATCAGACAGGATAAGCACAGCATTAGTGTGGGATACGCCACTCAGCTCTGATTTAAATTACTGTTTGTACTTCCTGAACTCATGGGAGAGTAAGGATGTGAGGAAAATGAAGAGGTTTAGACATGGACATTCCTTCACCGAATACTGGCAAGGCATGGTGGTGAACACAGCTGAGGTCATGCTCACCGCTGCTTACCGGGTGACCAGCTTCCTGCTGATTTGTTTCCCTTGTACCCTGGGCAGATTATCTCCACTGCAGGTTGCCTCCAGGATGAGGGATTAAATCCCACAGCCCTCACTGCTAGGTGTGTGCTCTCCTGGCTGCTGCCCTGCGGTGCCCAGGTGGTGAGGGGAGCAGGGCAGTGTCCAAGGATGCTGGGGTGAGAAGGTGGGATGCTTTTTGGTTTAGGAAAGAATGGAGTTTTTGCTTTGCTGTGCACTTTGTGTATAGATCTGTCCTTATCACATAGTCCCACTGCAGCAAAAGGACTACCATAGTGTTCACAGGAGGATAAATGTCCCAGGTGAGGCAGTGGAAGTTGTGCAGCTGCAGGAATATTTTACAGAGACCGCAGCAGACACTCTTCCTCCAGTTCCACCAGCTCCTTCGCATCCCAACCAAGCAAAACTCAGGATGCAGGGACAGGGAAAGCTGCCTGTCTCCTCCAGGAGTTCACCCCTCTGCCTTATATGGATCCACAAAATGAATGGCATGGGAAGAGACTTTAAAGCTCATCCACTTCCACCTCCCTGCCATGTTCAGGGACACCTCCCACTATCCCAGGTTGCTCCAAGCCCTGTCCAACCTGGCCTTGGACACTTCCAGGCCTCCCCACCCTCACAGGGAGGGATTTCTTCCTGATACCCAACCTAAATGTACTCTGTTTCAATTTAAAGCCATTCCTCCTTGTCCTGATCCCCCCCATGCTCTTGTCAAAAGTCCCCCCTAGCTCTCTTAGAGCCCCTTTAGGTGCTCTTTCCCCCTTGGCAGCAGAGGAATTTGAAGCTCCTGTCCCCGTCCCAGCCCGGGCTGTGCAGACGGAAGTCGCGCTCGGGGCTGCGCGTCGCAACTCGCCGGAATATTTCTTGTCCCCTGTCACCGCGTGTCTGGGAGAGGATTCCTGTGGTGGATGTGGGCTCTGCCTAATCTCACCCTGCCTGCCACTGCTGAGTGCTGCCGGGGGGACGCTGCCCAGCAGCGCTGCTGCCACCGAGGCCACCGCCGGGTTCAAGTGGCTCACAGAGAGGCCACGGCTGGAAACGACGCTCTGCACACACAGAAATCCTCCTGTTTCGAGATTAGGGAGCAGGAAAGGCTTTGGGAGGTCAGAGAGGGGAGATGTCTGGGTGTGTGTGACCAAGAGAGGGAGAGCCACAGCCAGGCTGCTTTCTCCTTTGCTTTGAGGCACAGCTCAGGAAAGGGGATATTTTCTCTTTGACTTGAAAAAGCGGAGTTATTTTCGCCCATTTGGGCAGGATAACAGGTTGTGGAAAGTCCCTGGTGCTCCCAAGGTGAGAATGGCAGTGGTTATGCACTGCTGGTACACACCAGCAGTAAGCAGTGCTGCTGCCATTCCCCCTTCCCACATGGCTGGGAGGGAAGATGTTCCATCCTCTACCACTGTTCCCTTTGTACCCTGCTCAGTTCTGCCATGAGCATCCCCACTGTCAAGTCCTGACATGTCGTGAGTCAGCAGCCTCAACCCCAGGGAAGGGACTGCTCTGCCAGGCAGCAGGTAATGCCTCCCTCCAGCTCCTCTTAGGCTCAGGTGAGCCGTGAGCCCAGCAGAGAAGTAGAACCAGGAGCTGGCATCCCCGGGAGTGATTCCCAGATCACTCCGGAAAAGAAGGGTGATGAGCAAACATTGGAGCGATGGTACAACAAGGAGAGATTTGTCAGTGAAGACTCTGTCTAACTGCTCTCTGGGTTTATCCCAAACACTAACCAGGCTCTGCTCTCTCTCCCCTTGCAGAGCTTCAGCGAGAGGGAAGCATAGAGACGCTGAGTAACAGCTCGGGCTCCACCAGCGGCAGCATCCCGCGCAACTTCGACGGCTACCGGTCCCCACTCCCGACTAACGAAAACCAGCCCCTCAGCCTGTTCCCCACGGGATTCCCCTAAATTAGCCGAACATCCAAGGAGAGATCCAGACAGGGTAACGAGCCGCCTCTCCGCCTAAACAATCCCGCTGTGTCCGTCACCTGCCGGCTCCCGCGGCGCTGGATGGTTCTCGTTACCCTGATGATTATCGACGACTCTCAGACCTTTCCTGAAACGCACTCACGAAATCTTGACTCTTGTGTCCCTGTGCAATATGAAGAGGCTCCGTCTTCAAATCCTGATAGCCCTGCGGCTTCTTTTCTCGCTGTCTTCAGGAAGGGGTTGGGTTGAGGGGAAATATTTCTAAGCCATTTTGGGTCAAGCACAAACGGTTTCGCCGCCGTTGCTTCTGCTTTCTTCGTGTTGAGAGATGAATCTCCGTAACTCAGAGGAGCTCTCGCCGTTCGTGCAAGTGACGAGCGTTCGTGGATGAACTGGAGAGACTGGAAACTGGAGGACTTTGTGTGGACAGGGTTGATAATGTTATTCCCTCCTCATCGTGTCTCCTTGCTGCCCTCCTCCCCCTCTGATACTCATCAGTGGCAGGAGTATTGCAAATGGAAATGTTTCTTTTTGTTCTTTGGAAGAATTCTCTCTATTGCTCCGGTTTTCTTCTAGTCATGTATTTTAGAAATGTACTTAATTGACTAAACTGCAGTCACAGATTTCTCATATTTGGTTATAAAAGTTGTTCATTGGAACTCAGATATCTGTCCAGAAATGCATGTGTCATTGAATAAATCTAAGTTAAACAAGAAACTGCTTAAATGGCAATGTTCATGGACTGTTACTGGGCTGACTGTGGGCTTTGTGCATCTCCCTGGACCAGACTCTGTGCATATTTACTAACTCAAGGGCTTTAATTAAAGCCATCAGTGGCTGTTAGGCAGCCAGTCTAACCCTCCTTGCTTCCTCATCCCTGTGTGCAAGGCATACTAAAAGCAAAGGATATTAAAAATAAGGGATATTGAACCCAAGATGTTTAGGTGGTACCTTGGCACCTCTGAAGATCAACACCCATCTCTTGGGGGTGTCTGAGCCCTGCTCCAGCTCCTCCTCTTGGTTGGGGCCCTCCTTCTTCGTCCCACTGATTTGTGTGGGACAAGGACCAGGTGCTGGGAGCAGAGGCACCCACCTCCCTGCGTTCTGCTGTGGGATCACGTAGCAGAGGCTTTGCAGAGCTGTGCAACAGCCTGAACCTCTGTACCCTCCGGAACGTGCGCAGTCAAAACCAGCGCCGCATAACTCTGCTGATAAAACAGTCCTGGGCTCACACATCATAACCACACGAATTCCTACATCTCAGCCAACTTGTGTCGAGGAGCAGAGTGAGATGGGACTGTCAGCTTATGAAATTTCCTTCCCCACTACTTGTTTTTAATAGAAGCCGTTTGAGTCATGGTAAGGAGAGGAAACTATCTAAACCCACAAATCTACTCGCACTCTTACGGCTCAAACCAGCCACACCAAGGGGTGCAGAACCGACCACTCTCTTCCTCCTCCATCCCCAAACACCAAATACCCAGTTCAGTTCTGGGCTTGATTTTTTTGGTTTGGTTTGGTTTGGTTTTAACCTTAACGCAGCCACTCAGAAGGTTTTGTTTTCTTCAGGTTTGGAAACCGCTCATAAAAACTGAGAGTTTACAGCAACGATTTCAGTTTCTTGCTTGGTTTTCAGACAGTCCTTTCTCAGGCAGAAAAAAAAAAAAAAAAGAAAGAAAAAAAACTTCCTTGGGATGAAATCAGAGGAGAGTTTGCTTGTAAGTAAGTACTTGCAGCTCCGCTGGCTATATCTGCTGTAATGCTATGTTCCTTTTTGTCTGTAAAATAATGGCTTGAAGTAAGGAAGGGGCTGAGGGCAGGGCTGGCACAAATGGGACCGCAGGGTCAAGTCAGTCCACACCAGTCAGGGTTTTTAACACAGTTCAAGCCAAGGTCAGCTCCAAAAGTTCAAACAAAATCCAGATTAACACATACAGAAGGGATTGTGTTGTCACCGTGATGCTTGTTTCCTTTCAGGCTTTCCAAGGAGCAGGGGAAGGGACAAAGTTCTCGCAGAGGAAGGAAGGCGGCTCTTCTCCCTCCTGCCTGGGACAGCTTGGCTGGCTCTTACTGAGCACACAAAAGTAGGATAGCACATAACACACAGTGGTGTCATTGCAAATGTATTTGTTGTTGGCAGGCATTAAATCACTTTTTATAAGTGCTGCAATATGGCCATGTGGAAATTCCCAGTCTGCAAGAAGCTCCTTTGAATCAGGATGTTTTGTTTAAAGGGGGGGGCGAGGGGGGAGAAAGGATTCAAAAAAACCCTACAAACTGGGGCTGTACCAAAATATTTTCAGTCTGGTTCATTGAAAAGAATGTCCTAAATTCCCTGCTGTTGATAGCCCCGTAGCCAAACTGTTAAGAAAGCCTAGAGCTTAAAAGAAAAAAAAAAGCATTGCTGTGAGGCAGTTAATTTAACTTTAATTTGATACTTTCACAGATGACCCAGCAGAATAACCACCAAGTTCCAGCTCTTCTATGAGCCAGAGAAAACTGAGTGTGTTGCAACGATGACTGTAGAGTGTCTGATTCATTGATAACTCTATAGGGTCTGATATAACAGTGTATAGTGTCAAATGCATTGATAACTCTATAGAGTCTGATTTAATGATAACTCTATAGGGTCTGATTTATCAATGATTCTATAAGGTTTGATTCAACAATAACTCTGTGGGGCCTGATTTAATGATAGTTCTATGGAGTCTAATTCAGTAATTACTCTGCAGGGTCTGATTCATCAATAACTCCATAAGGTTTGATTCCTCTCTATAGGGTCTGGTTTATCGATAACTCAGTAGGGTCTGGCTCAGCACATCCCTGCACCTTGTTCCTCACTCACAGCACACACCTGCTCCCACCCATGGCCCTGCAGCCGCATGATAACTGTTTTTCAGGCTCCAGGAGGGAATTTTTCTGTTCCTTGGTGATGTCTAGAACCTGCTCCTCAGGGAGGTTTGCCCCTGACTTTTAACACAACCAGGTTTTCAGCCGAGGGAACTGACCCAAACCCCGCTTAAAGCAGAAATAACCTGAGGCTCGAGGGCTTCGGACGAGCGGCTCCCGTTGCTGTGGAAATTCTCCAGGTGGGTTTCTGAAGCGCCAGGTTTCCAAGGGCAGGGGCTGGCAGGAGGTCACGGGCAGCCCAGCAAGAATGTTGTGCCATGATATAAACCAAAAGAGCCCAAAAGACACACGGACTGGCAGGTTTTTAAACTGTTTCCAGTAGTAGTAAGCAGCGGGCTCCTGCTGAGTTCAAAAGGCAAAACGTCTCGTTTAAAGCAGGGCGGACTGTATATCACTCTGTGCATAAAGTGGGGCTCTTCTATTAAAAGTTGAGTTCAGATTTCATGAATTAACATGAAATATTGCTTTCTTATCCTGCCCTGGTTTCTGTAATAAACACACGCGTGTAGTGGGCTTAAATCATGGGAAGGGGGATGTTTGGCTGTTTGAAAAGAAGTGGGAAGTCAAAGGTTCTCCAAATGTGACAGCTTGGAGTTCAAATGAAATCAAATCTCAGAACCAGCCCAGGGGCTGGGCAGGAGCAGCAGGGCTGGTGTTTTGCAGGGCACGTGGGGCTCAGGATTTGGTTGTTTTGCTGGTGTTGCTGAGCCCAGATGGGGCTCTGCCCAGGCAAACCCCATCCTGCTGCCCATCTCCCGAGGGGACAGGCACTGCTTGTCCTGCCCTGAGCAGCTTTCCCCAGCCCCAGAACAACATTTGCTGGCAACGAGGCTGGGATAAGGCAGAGGACTGACCGAGGGCAAAATTCTGCCAAGATCTCTGTCCTCCTTCCTCAGCAGAAAGCCCGGAGCAGTTTTGCTGCAAAGTGCAGCTCCCCCTCCTCTCTGACCGCCCGAGCAAGAGGGTAAATCCAAGGTGCTCTCACCGGGGCTTCCTTAGTGTTGTTTTTTGTTTTTTTTTTTTTTTTTGAGGATCCAAACCACGTCTGCGCCACGTCTCTGCATTTATTTTCTCGCTCCTTTGCTCTGGCTTGTTGCTGTGCAGGGTAGGAAAGTTTGCGCCATTTCCTGTTGTCTTTCCCTTGTGCTCCTGAGATATTGTAAAAATGTTCGGTATCCTCCAGTAGGTTGTAATCACTTCACCCTAATGTTTCACAGCTGCTAAGTGTAACTTTAAACCCCACCATTTGAGTGCTTACAATTAGCGAGTCAATGGGGGCTGAGATCGGGTCTTTGTGATTGCAAAAAAAAAAAAAAAAAAAAGAGAAAACGAAACTTTTTTTTTTTTGTCCTGAGTTTTAATTGGATAAAACGGGAACAAAAGTTGTGGAGACGAGGGGGTTTTTAATGCAATAAATGATTAGTGGCTTATGTGCTAGGAAAAAAATAATTGAATCCGCTGCTTGGCCTGTTCCACAGATGGAAAAGGCACCGGGACAAGCATGTGGCTGTGGAGGCAGTGCCTATCCCAGTGACTGCAGCAGCCCCTCTGCGAGCTCGTGGCTCCCCACGTGTAGGATCAGAGCTGGTGGGAACAGAATTGGGAAGAGACAAGAGGCTTCAGCTGTGCCCCTCACCTGTCCCTGCCACGCCAGAGCATCCAGCCCTTCCATCAGCCCCTTACTGGGGTGTAAAACTGGGGCACAGAGGCTGTCCAGTCTCACCTAATGAGATTAAAATGTATAAAAATTAGGATTAATATTAAATTTATTCAATATGGTCATTCCATAGCATGAACTGAATACAAGTGTAAGCTGGGGCTCATACTGAAGAGTCCTCCCAGCCCAACAGGGGTGAGACCTCTCTGGCTGATGTCACTGGGTTTGTTCCCGCTCGGCATTCCCGCCTCCTGCACGTGCTGGGAGCAGGTTTCAATTATCCCAGAAAATGCCTTTCCCCTGGTGAAAGCAAAGGGCAGGACACAGCGGGATACAAGTCACTAAGGCTGGATCTGGACCAGGGACATAGCAGGGTCGCTGCCTCCCTGTCCCACACGGTGCCTGGCTGACCCCTCGCTCCTCCAGCTCTGCCCACGAGCAGAGCCAGCGCTGGAATTGGTGCTTCCTGCTGCAGGATCAGCCTTGGGAACATGGCACATGTCCCCCCAGCCTTTGGGACATATGGCCATTCCTGGCTGTGCCTGGGCATTGACACTGTCCCATCAGTTGCCACCCCATCCCTCACTGGGCTCAGATGTAATTTGAAGCTGTGCATCTGTCAGTGAGTTCCCAGGCTGAATTTTTGCCTTTCTTGGGAATTTCTGCTGCAGGAAATTACACTAAAATACTGACAACAGGGTCAGGGGCTTGCAGCCCTCCCTGTCCCCTCTGTCTCCTTCCCTCCGTCACATCCCTTGGGGATGGGCACGGCGCAGCAGGGATGCTGCTCCCTGGCAGCCCTCCCTCCACGGGAGGCATTCCTGCCACCTGATCATAAATACTAATTAATAGCAAAGCCCTGGTCTAGATCAAGGAGGAGGCTCTGAATTTTCTTGGGAACTTGGCTGTCTGAAAGGTATCTGAAATATTCTGTAGCACTCAGCCTATCGCTGGGTCAATTATACGGTGAGCAGTCATACGAAGTTAATTTCTAATTTAATACAATGTTAAAAGGTTGTCAGGTTAAAATCTAATCTATAAACGAGACATGAAACGTCTCTTTAAAGCAAGTGTCGTGAACCGGTCCTGGCTCACACCACAGGCTGCTGCTTCTTTTATAGGGTGTAATTACTGCCCAGTGAGTATTTAC